TCACAGCATACTTGCTATATTCTATGCGTGCCTGTGCACTCAAAGGTCGCGCTACGGCCCACAGTGAGGCATCAGCAAACATGACACATCACACTGTACAAACCTATCAACCTGGCTTTAACCACAATAGACAAGAATTGCTAGCTACCAGCAAGAGGATTTTAACTTACATTTTTCTGCTTCCTCTTACCGATATCCATATTGTTCTGCGGCAGCACGAATACCACGAGGCTCCATAAAAAGCATAGCAACGGACGACCATGGTTCAGAAATGATATAAAAACGGTTCAAACGAGATATCAATGCGTCTGGTATATTCGCACTGAGTTGTCTGTTTCAATAAATGAGAACGTACCATGAACGGAGGCTGTAGCAGCCGATCAGCTAATTAAATATCAGGATGTTGTTATCAAAAGTACAACACCCGAATCAATTTATTCCCAAATTGTTAATTAAAAATGACGGGAATAAATGAAAAAGTCGTCGATGTCTTTCAGTAAGTGACAGTCTAACCCGGAAAATCGAAAATTTGTCCATCTGGAGTTTTTTCTACCATTTTACTACCTTTGATCCAAAGAACAAATTAGTAGAGTTTCAAAGCAAAATGTTGTTTACTTTCCTAGTAACTGTAAACAAACAACTAATAAAAAGCTTGGTCTCTGTGTTTCCCTGTTTTCAGGAAGTAATAAATAGTCACATCGACAGCAGGGCAAAAATGGAGACAATAAAATTATACACCATCCCTGCACGATTCGGTGTATGTACGCATGCGTGTTAGTGATGTTGCACATCGGCACACGTGTTGAAATGTAACGAAATGCAACGATTTTCGTCAGGCTCTTTTTTTTTCCCGAAGTGACAAAAGTGTGTATAATGCAATAGGAAAATATAAAGAACTCCAGGTTTTCCTGTTTTCACGAGGTAAAAAAGCTTTCATCGTTTGTATTAATGTATTATTCTTTAATTAAGCCAATAGGCCTATATCTGCAACTAAGTACGGATTAGCTTTTCCCAAGTCTTACATTTCATGACTTTGTAAAAAAAAATCCTGAATCCGTAAAATAAGAGTGATCAAAATGTGTATTGTGTATTGCAGTAGCGAAGTTTTGCACCTTGACATACAGCGGCGGCGATGATAAAAACCAATTATTCCGTACATTAGACCTTTCCTATCAGACCCTATTTCTACTGCATTCATTTTCCAATTACCTTCTCTCCCTCTTTTGACTCGTGATGCGCGCTAGTTTTTCCCGTTTTTTGAACCGACGATTTGCACTTTGGTTCGACATCTATTTTCAGCGCGACTGACTAGTTTGACTAGCTACCTGATCAGACTATTCCCCATTATTATACACAACGCTTTCATGAGGTCAGCACTTCATTGCAGACAGAATGGTCTTATTTTTCACTTCCTCTCAGCTATTGCTATTTCAAGGCTTTTTATCCTTTCAATCCCAGTTCGCCAGACAATAACTGTCTGCTATCCTTAGCCAAAACCACCAACCACGACTATGAACTTGGATTGTGTGAAGTGGTGTGTGCCACACACAAGGCACCATTTTCCGAAACACAATGCCACACGTAGTGTATATGTACATACACGAGTGTAATCGTGAAAACACGACATATGTGAAGTTGTGTATTCCATGTTGTCGATGCTGTCGATTGAAAAATTCAACTTTCAGACGTGACTTTTTTCATCAGTAGGCCTACTTCTCGCAATCTCTGATTTACTAAATCCAGAAAATCAGTCTTTTCAAGTCACACGAATACGTTTTGTATGGCACGATGCCAACATAAAATATAGAATGCTTTCTTTAATAGCCATGATTGATCGGCTGAAGTTCAAGAACGAAATCTTAAAGTGCATGTACTTCATCTATACTTACTGAAGTTTGAAGAATAGGGGGTAATTAAAGTGTGATTAGTTCATATTAAAACATGTGTGTCACTTACAATTGCCCATAAAGGAGGTGAGGGTTTTAATCCATCAGGACATGGAAGCAAACACTATCGATAACAATAGCTTTTTGAAAATGTATTGATAGGGCCTACACAAATCTGGCAGCTCACCATACGTGCGAACTTCTGGGTCTACCTATTTGAATTAATTCGTGAACAAACCTGTTTGAAGCCTTCAACGAACTCCAAACGTGCTTAATTTGCGTCGCCAGCTCAACTCCGGAATTTGGTTTTGGGCGCAAACCTTTGTTATGCTTTTTTCAGAACCAAAAAAAGTCCAGGAGGACTAGGCCTAAATACACCAGGTCAGGATTTCGCTATAGTTGCGACAGTTTTTCCCCTGAGAACTTCAAATACTTGGCAAATTAATTAATTTATTTCTTCAGGAGTGTGTGAAACATTTAAAATTCAACAGCGTCGATGGCACAAACGTCATTACCATCCAAATAGCCGTTTTCGATTTTGAAAATTCATTTCCCTCAATGAAATCATATCATTTGAAAATTGGCAAGGGAACCAAATGGGCAACTGCTTAGACTAAGAACACCCCTCGAGTGAAGTTGCTTTTGTACAAAGTGCCTGGCTTGTCCTTTCATGCACCATGGCGCAAGTTAAATTAATCCCCGAAGTTCAAGAACTGTTATGTGTACTTTTCGTGTCAAGGCTAGTTGACAAATTTGCTGGTAATACTGGAAGCATGATTCTTTATCATGTCTGTCAATGAATGCTGGAATTAATTAATGAAAAGGGTTCGGGTAGCGGGAGCGTTTGAGTGTCTTTTGGTGAAAAAAAATGTCTGACCGCATTTAATGCAGCCTGCTGATTTTATTTCCTGATAATATCATAAAAATATATATCACAAAACGAAATTATAGTGTGGTACCCTGCTTTATTATGTGTTGATTCCAAGAATGAAAGAGAGGGTCCTGTGTAAAATTACACGATATGCAAATGACCGGTAGCTTACTTGCAGGATTATTTGGTCACTTTCAATTGGCCATTTTCGGTGCATACTTTTATCACGATGACACTAACCTAAAAGGTCTGCTTTTTTCGTCACAGTGGGGTTTGTCCTACGACTGGCAGCTAAAACTATAGTTGTTCGTCGGTAAAAGGTAAAATAATAATTCACAAAATGTTAAAAATCCAAATACCAAATGAAAGTTAACCCTCCTTAAAATTGATGAGACAAATGTCCATTTTGAGAGAAAATCAAATAAAATAGAAAAACCAGCCAAAAGGTGATCTCTGCAAACTGTGGCCGCTCATACAAGTTGTGTGCAAAATGAGAGTGGCCCCATACATGCAGGGTTTACTGGACAAGCACTTCAATGTAGATAATGTATGAAAGCAAATCAAAGTGCAGAGATCGAAGAACAAGTCTACGATGTACCATTACAAAAGCTAAGTCAATGACAGATAAAGGCACATATTAGCCTTGAGCCGAGGTGGGGGAATCAGCATTTTGATTTTCCCGATTTATTTCCGTTTGTAGATGACCGGGTACAACCCGGTCACCTGTCGGTAAAGCGGTTCACCTTTCGTCTCCTGTTTTTTTCCGGAGAAGAAATCTCCAAAGCATCTTCGCAATACGACATACCGGTACCGTTGTAAATTTGACACGAACATTAACCCCGATCCGTATATACGTAAAAGGAGTAACGTCTGATGACAGCATTGATCTGTTATCGAATTACAAGCAATTGTAATCTTTCAGAAGTTTATCTCATAATCTGACACAGAATGTGTTTATATTTTGGGATTGGACAGAGCTTGAGTTGGCCAGTAATTGTTGTGAAGTGTTGAAGTTGTCAAGCCTTTTTTTCGAGGGTTTACGAAGGTCAATGTTCGGACATAATTTAAAAGTTTAAGGAAACATCATATCAATACACCGGTCAGTATCTTCCAAGTTTAGGAGATTAGTGTGAAACTTTGTACCATTTAAACCCTGATGGCAAGACTTTAGTATGCGAGTTTTCAAGATGTATGTGATGTCATCTGTAACAAATTACTAGTAATTTAAAATTTCAAATGGAAACCTTTCTTCAACTAGAACTTTAGCACTGAATGAGGTAGCACGTTCATATTTAGAAACCTGGTAGACCATTATCTTGGACAAAGCTACCACCTGGAAAGGAAAGCCATGTGACCACAACTTCTGGATAGTCGGAAGTGCAATGATATGAGATCATATCTCGAAATCAAAAAGAGTTTTCTACATTCAACCAATTACCAAAAATGTTAAGAATGGTATATGCAGAGCACTACGCAAGGATTACTGACGTCATAACACGAGGGCATACCGGTATCCCTCTTGAAAAGACGGTTATTGTTTTAAAATTTACCATAGTTTCATGACTGTGGATAAAAAAATCAGTTGTTAAAAACAACCAAACTTTGAAGTCTCAAAATAATGACGTCATCATCCTCGAAGTTATTGAAGGGTCAATCCTCAATACCAGTTTCCTCTTCATTTGACTTTGATTTGATTTAATATACATGCATACGCTTCATGAATGTTATCTTGCACAAATTATGAGACCAAGCAGACTTTCCGCTGACATGCATCAAAATTCTGCGGTGTTATCCCTTCTTGAATCGATATCACCCGATTCCCTCGTTTTTTTTTAATTAAAATGAAACACAAGTCGTTAATTTTCCTGTTATAACTGGAAAAACAAAACAGCAGTTCCGAACCATTCCATCTAACGTGTTTTTTTTCTCGGTACATACGAAGGAATTGGAAACTTCTGCTTCAAATATGACGACCTCCCTCAAACCGTATCAACATGAGTCATCTTGTAAAATAGTTTTTTTTTGGACGGGGGGCAAACAACACCAAACCAGGGTTTTTTACTTGCTTCAAATAGCAAAACTACTTGAAAAAGGGTAAACGCTGTTCCGTCAAAATTGAATGTAGTCTAAGGCGGAAAACGTGCTCGGGGATTACCAGAAAGCAACATATTACAGACTAAGTTTCGGAAATACTAATTACTCGAATAAATGGAATGAGAAACGCAAAGGGAGGAAGTACTTACCTGAACAACGGGGACTAGGGGAAAGAAATACACGTAATGAAACAGCCTTCTTTCGTCGCTGATCAGCGAGCAATGCCAATAAGGGTCTCGGCGACTACAATAGTGACTGGGTGTGTTTCATTACAATGACTATGGGACAAGTTGAAAGTTGGGGACAACTCCAAAATGTGCGGGGAACCTTTTGTAAATCCGCGATTTTTGTATGTACAAAAACCCACACAAAACAGCCATTGTGCACATACCGGTGTACAGGTCACAGTGACGTACGTACACGAATGCGAAAGTTAAGGAACTGTGGAACCAAATTAAGGCCACTTGACGGGGGCGTCGTGAAGGGAAAGGGGAACGTGAGGTGTTCCACCCAAAATCCCTGAAGACGCCCATGCCTGAGGAGGTAGGGGAATATGGTGCAGCTGATGTCTCGCACTGACAAGTCTATTATCTGACGCTCCTCAGTGTCAAGTGGAGTCAGGTTGGCGCAATGGTGCTTTCATCACCTTCCACCTGTGTTATTTTATTCTGAATCCCAACAAGCGAGACGTCCAGATTTGGCTTTTCAGTCAGTCCCTTTATATTTCCGTGATTTATTCCCGTGTTCTGGTCTTCACAATAGATGTCTCCCAAAGTTCATCGAGTGACAATTAATCATTCATGATTGTACTTGCCACATGACGAGCGTGTCTTTGTCCATGCACACGGTCTCCCCAATAAGGTCAACGTTGACAATCAGCATGCACAACTACAACCAACCTATATAGGCCTATAGCAGCGTGGCATTCACTGCAGTCGATAAGAACTTCTGCCAGTAAAAGAATTTTAACTTGCATTTTGCTGAACAAAAAGTAAATGCTTGCAGTTCAGTACATGGCTACTACCAATGGACGCATTTTTTGTTTTGGGGTTTTTTTGGATTGTTTGTTTTTTGTTTATTTGTTTGTTTTTGTTTGACAAAACAGCAAGGATTATCGTGTTTGCAGTAGACCCCTGTAGGTAAGCCTATTCCATCAGCACCAGCACGGTTATGCCATTTTCACAGGATACATTAAGCGGCCTTGGTAAAATGCCAATTGTTCTGTTCATTATAACTTTCACGAGCACATTTTCTAATCCCTCCAGGGTCGTCTCTCCCACTTTTAACCCCAGAATTGTTCAAGTTTTTACTGTCTGAATAGTCAAACCAACGATGTGTGATGCATCTTGACTCGTATCGTCAGCATGACTGAATACGACGAATATGATCATTTATAGTGAAGATAGTGGGTTGGCCATTCAACCTCAGCTGTATGTTAAAGGTTCGCTCGCACAACAGCGCTTATACTGCTGATATTTCGAAAAGATAGTTGCAAAGCATTATTACAATTGCCTGTTTGTAGAGTGACTTCACTGTAAAAAGTGACTGCATGTCATACACCTGTGGACGAGCACGTATTTGTTCCAGCATCATGAATTGTTGAGGCACGCATTTTTTATACACCTTTGATGCTAGTCAGGGAGCTGGCACATAATCACTAGCACAAAATGACTGACACTAGACCTCTGTACCAGAAATCATGAACACTTGAAGTACTTTTGCCTATTCAAGCAGATGAGGTAGGGGTTTCTTACAACTCAGGCGCCAATCAAGTAGGTATGTGGTATAAACTAACTACCGTAAAGAACATTAACTTCGGCTTACCGTGGCTGCAGAAACACAGAAATCTCACCTTGAAACCGCATATTCCGATCACACTTTGGAAAGTTTTATCCCCGTTCCCGTTAGGGATCACATAGGAGCTTGCGATGTAGACACACAGCATGGAGGTCGCAAACAATCATTCACGAGATTCTCCTGCGGCTAGCGAGTTGCCATATGTGACGACACATTCCAGGGCTGAAGGATGATATATTGTATTAGGTAGCGCACCTATCTGACGGGATCATTATCATCCAGTGGCACAGGTCGTTAAATTAAGCTGTAGTAATGACGCCTATGTAGGTGGCTTCTCACTGGATTGGTCATTGGAATCCGAGCTTCCAAGCCTAATTCCAGGACGCTGACCTCACTCTGGCAGGATGTGCTTAGTACATAGGTGCACATTAAAAGCACGTTTATTAATTTTTGCTCACTGCACCGCCACACAAATATCTGATGCAATAACGACAAAGTGACATCATGGACATTTCTCGATTGCATGTTTCCTCTTTTAATTAGGTAATGCATTGAAGGTTAGATTTGAACTCGATTATTTTAATGTAGGAGAGATGCAAATCCTCAAAACTTTTAGTTGGAAGACGCAAACCGGGAACGCAAAACACAGTCATTGTAAAATGCTGCCGCTGGTACGGTGACGGAAGAACCCAACGCTAAGACGACCCACTGTATTTCAGTGAGACTCAAATATTCAGATACAATAAACAGGCCAAGAAAAATGCACATGCAATGCCATCGTTAGCATGCGAAATACGTTTGATTACTTACGAGACCAAAAAGCTATGAACAGTTTAGTGGTACTTCGTTAACGGTACAGTATTTGGAAGAGCTGCTTTGAAAATAAAAGCTGTTACTTTGATTCCATGTAATTTTTGCTTTCCCCATATTGCTGAGTAATTTAAAAATTACCGTAATAATTCAGAACTGTGAAATACATTCGTAACACATTATCTAAAATATCATATTCCGCTCTGAAGACTGTTATTCTTTTTAAGCTGTTTCTTATTTCACGGGGCAAATAATGGACACCTGCTGTATTCATGACACGTGGTGTAAGCTTAACGGTAATCGGGTCTCTGTTAATTTAACATAATCGAAACTCTATCTGTTGGTGTGTTTTTAGCCGCTTCGGCCACACTGCCAAAGTAGGTATAGTTTTCGTTCTTTGGTTGGCGATGGTGAAGTATAAGACACTTTTCAAGAGACAGGAACAAAAGCCCCACAAAATACCTTTCTTTCTCTTCAGTTCTAACGAACAATGTCAGAGACGGTCTGCAGCAGTTTTTGAGAAAACGTTGCGATTCAGAGAGCGAAAAATGCGCGATTCCCATTTATACACGTCAATGCTCCCTGTGGGAGAATTGGGGTTAGGGTGATTTTTACTAAGTCAACACATGACCTGCGTCAGAAGAGCTTCTCTAAAGTACACAAGTTGCTGTTAATGGGATAAAGAGAGACATGCTTTAGGTCATGAAACCTGATTGAAAAAAATGAAATATCCTACAGAATAGTTACTTCATGATTAAGAAATAATCCAATTTTTAACAATAACCGGTTTTTCGGTGTTTTTGTTTCAGTAATCCTACCGCCATAACACTTTGGCACTTTAGTAAGAGTGATTCAACTCAAACTTTGCATATACTTAGACTACCTTCTTAGGATGATCCTAGAAGATATCCATCATAATGACGTCATCAGTTGTCACGTGACAAACCCAAAAAGTTTAATTCTTCTCGGGTTTTTATCTCTGGAACTGTTTGGCCAAGTGGGTTGAAATTTTGCACAAGCGAGGAAATGCCCTGTATGGCGCAGTTCGTGCTAGTTCCAACATCTGCGGTCCTATAGAAAAAAGCAAGGACAAGCCCGATGACTGGCACTGTGGGAATCACCCTTTCTAACAGATTTTTCGTCTCGGAATTAAATAGCTCATACAATATACAAATGATGCTTAGAAAAGGCTCTGATTCCGAAGCAGCTCCGTGGTTGTTCACAAAAAAATTACTCTCGTTGTATTTTAATGTGTTTGACACCGCCGTTTGTGTAGACTTGGGAGCTGTGTATTAAATTCTACTCCTTCTTGCTGCGTTGGAGAGTCATGCCATCTAAATTGACTGAAATGTTCGTGTATTCATGAACAGGATAACCGCAGTCAGACAGGGGCTCCGCGGCCTGTTGCATGTATTTACTGGAGCATCAAGCTGTTGCAAATTTACCCCTTCATTTTTCTAATCGAGCATGAAAGTAAAAGGTCATGCAGCGAGCACCAAGAAACCCTCGCACAGTCTGCCTCTGGGGATTTGGCATGGGGCCGTCCTATCAGGTTCGATATTTTTTGGAAGAACGATTCGTAACTGAAATCACCCATATAAAACATTCATGTTGAGGTTTTACCTTTTTCTTCCTTAAATAATATTTTCGATGGGTGCAAAACCACCTTTCAATTTCCGGCAATATCGTTCGAAGGTCTCCCTGTTCATGCATGTCTGTTTTCACTCCCCGCGCTTATACGCTGAAAACGAGATTGTACAAAGGTGCAAAGATTTACCTAGGGCCTACCTGCAGTCGATGAGTTCCCAGATGCCGTTGACTTGACATGACGCAGTTTTTGTAAGCAAAATGTGATAAAATATTCGAATCTTTCGTAAAAGCAGATTATTGCTTTAGGTTTCTCTCCTAAGCAATTAAAAGAAACGTAAAGTATTTTGATCTGTTTTATGTTGGCTTTTATCGACAAACGACCAGAAAGTTTCCTTCCGTAAATGTTCATCTGCGTACGATGATTTTCGGAAGGGACGGGTCAGTTTTTGGCAGGATATTTTTCAGTTTATTTTTTAGTTTCTAGAAATGGATATGCTAGCAAATATTTTCAAAAGACCTTTTTTCGAATTGTATTTGTGAACTAAACAACTGAACAAAAAAAATAAATTATGAAATTTTTGCATCATTAGGGGTCAACTTTCAGGCTCCACTGTAACTATGTCTGGTTGTAAATCACAACGCACCGCACACAAGTGTNAACCCTCTGTCAATCGGGGACCTTATTGTCCTCTATTGTTCAGGGTCCCCAGTTGAATGCAGAAACAAATTCTAGCACATCTACTTGTGCAATTCCCAGCACAAGCCCACCACCACCACCAACGCCTACTTGTTGAGGATAGGTCAGTTCAAATATCCTTAAACTACCGCATTCTTGCATCCAAGTTGTGCTGACTCGAATCAATGCGTGGCTTAAATCGATTCATATCCGGGTCACCATTTTGAAAAACAAAATCATGACTGGACCCAAATCCCAACAGGTAACTGATTCAACACGACTGTGGCGTAACTGGGGTACATTTTGCAAAGGGACGGGGAGTCTTAATTTTCTGGATGGGCACGTTAGGATGTTAACTTCCTCGGTTTTATGGGGTAAGAGGTAAAACATTGACTAAGACAGCCTATCACTACATTTTACCATCTCAAATTTCTAAGCGCAGGAGGAGCCATAAGGCGCACAGGCCCCTAACACCCTCCCCTTAGTTTCACCACTGTGACACGACTCAAGTTAATATATAAAATCAAATGAGTTGACCTTCGAGGCCCTAAATGAAAGAACCAGGCTAATTCCTGTAACATTGGAATTCCAAAATGTAATACTCTTGGAATATAATTGATGTAGCATGTAGCTTGCCATATGGAGATTATTTTGTTTGTGTTCTTTACGATACCGTCACCATTTGATCTGAGAAAAAGAAATAAACACTACTTTTGTTTGTGTTCTTTACGATACCGTCACCATTTGATCTGAGAAAAAGAAATAAACACCTGCTGGCAT